CCCCCCCCCCCTCCTCACAGCAACACAGTTTAGGTTCAAGCTTGGGCCTGTCTGTGTGAAGTGTAGGTGGCCAGACTGTACCAGTGTGGTTTTCTCCCACTGTCCAAAGACAAAGTTGGATTAATGGAATGTGGAGACAGAGACAGAAGAAGCAACAAATTCTTAAAATTATAATTGGAGGATATCAACTCAACTGTTAAATGCTAGTTGTCTTTGAATTAATGCATGGTTAGATAAAATAAAAAATACAGCTTGATGATAATATATGTCTCATCCCACTGCAGCCATGCCCTCTGTTTCTGGTGCTGCATCCTTGGAAGAAGTTCCTTCTCCTTGCACATCTGCAGCTAACCCAACAAATGCAGAAGTCACTTGTGCTACAGCAGCTGTGAACAGTTGTAACAGGTTATCTGCTGATGGTGAAGATAAGGATGAATCATTCACTGAGACTCAGCTGGAGAACACAGACGAGACTCCCGATGAGACGAAGTGGCTCCGTCCTGATTTGCCCAGCAGATGTACTTGGAAGCTGGGTGCGCCCATGTCAGAGTCGCCTCATAGCCACTCAGCACAGTAAGAGTCTGGAGAAATAAAGAGGTCGCTGTGTCTTTAAATAAAACTAGTGACTCTGTCCACTTCACTCTTTGCAGCAGAGTTGAGTCACCAGCAATATTTAATTCTGATTTGACAAACAGATGTCCCACATACACTGATGTGTCACTTTAGTAGGTACACTTGTTCAACTGCTGGTTAATGCAAATATGTAAACTGCCAATCACATGGCAGCAACTCAGTGCATGTAAACACGATCTAGATGACCTGCTTAAGATCAAACAAAGAATCAGAATGAGGGAAAATGGTGATGTTTTTCCACCACACTCAGACGGCAGGGTTAGAATTTGATGTAAACAATACGAAAACATGGCTCCATCTTGCCATGTATCACATGTATCAGTGGTTCTGGCACTTTGTGTTGGTGGATTGGTGTACAGGGTTTTTTTTTTTTTGACACTTTGCCCTCTTTAGTGTTTGTAAAGCTCAGATGATCTCAGCTCACAGGTCACCACATCTCAATCTAAAAGAAAATCTTTGTGAGGTGATCGAATTGTGTGATAGTATCATGTCGACATGGACCAAAATCTTTGAGGAATGTTTCCCGGGTTGGTTTTCAAGCCAGTTTTGAAAACCAACCCAGTGCTAGCAAGGTGTACCTAACAAATTGCCCAGTGAGTGTATGTTGTGATGATATTTCTGACAATTCCACTAATTTTGGTTAAACTCTCATCAGATATAATGAACATGAAATCCTGTATGGTATCTCCTAGTGTGTGTTATCTCTTACATTACAGCACCAAGCCCTCCGGCATCCTCTCCAGCATCCTTGAGAAAATTGGACACACACCTCTGGTTCGCTTGAACAAAATCCCCAAAGAGTTTGGGCTCAAGTGTGATATCTGTGAGTAAAAGATGTGACAAATTATGTAAAAGTAAGAAGATGATTTAAAAAAAAAGACTTATTTTTGCTTACGGTTTTGCAAAATCTTTATTATTATTATTCTGCATTCAAGTAAATAAGTCTAATTGAAAGTTTGCTTATAAAAGCAGAGGCTTGAATATTACACAACAGGGTAAGCTAATTAAATAAATAAGTAAAAAAGAAAGGAAAAGGAAACTTAGAGAAAGGTTCACACAAGTTTTAGTACTATACAAAACACATTTAAACAGAATAAACCTTTTAGAATATAAAACATGACATTAACCTTAATAAATAAATAACATGATCCTTAACCTGACTGCTATCCATGTACTTGTACTGCAAAGCTACAACTTTAATCCAAAAGATATGGGTTTATGGATATTTATGGATGTGAAATGATAAGTTTTCTCTCTGAATAGTCCCCTTTGCTCACCCCAAAATGACACTGATATGTCCTTGCAAGAAAATGAGCAGGAGTGCAGTCTTCTTATTTTCAGGATAGAAGATGCTTTAAATGTCCTAACAACAGCTTTATTGTTCTCCCTCCTAAGCAGCGAGAAAGCTGATAAGTTTACTGTGTTTAGTGGGGTGAAAAAAACCCCTGCTTGGATGAGACTGTAGCTGAGCAACAGCAGATTACAGAGTGAAATCTCACCTGGCTTACCATATTTGTGTAAAAGAACGTCTTTTAGGGGATATGTTGTTAAGTTGATGCATCCAAGTGGAAGAGGTGCCGTTGTTTAAGCTAGGGCTGTTGATCCCACTGTGTCCCTCTTGGCTTCCTGCTCAGCAGTTAAAAAGGGAGCTTTGAAGTATCATGTAGCTGGTGGCCTTATGTTTTTTCACTGTGCAACTGTTGTTTTCTTGTATGAGGGGGCAGCTCGCTCCCCTGGATGGAGAGGTGAGACTGAAAGACTTTTTGTTCTGTCATCCAACAGAGTAAAAAGAAAACTTTTGCAAATAAAATGCAGCTCTAAACTTGAGAAATAATACAGTTTATATTTGTTCCGGTACCTTAACAACATGTTGTTGCTGATGCAGTAGCTGGCAGGCATGTCATTATCCCTGTGTTGCTATGAGTTTGCAAAAGAGCAGATCCAGATCTCACACTCCACAAATTGAATTTCCTAATTACTTCAAACACAGTCAGTCAGGATTACAGAAGGAGATCTGACATGAACTGTTC